AAAAAAAGAACCAATCACAGGCCTCCCCCAGTTTCCCTTGCAGCGTGGTTTGGGATGCCCACATGGATCGGTTCTTCTCCTCTCATGGAGCCCCCATTCACTATGACCCCTTTAAGGAGAAGTGTCCCTGGCAGACCCCAGCTGTAAGCCACGGGGGGCCCAACTAAGCCAGAATCAGACGATCACAACTCTCCTTCCAAAATTACACTCTTGGGGCGCCCAGGTGGCTCAGTCGGTTGGGCATCAGACTTCAGCTCGGGTCATGATCTCGTAGTTCCTGGGTTCGAGCCCCGTGTTAGGTTCTATGCTAACAGCTCAGAGCCTGGAGCCTGCTTCAGATTCTCTGTCTCCCTCTCTCATTGCCCCTGCCCTGCTCACATTCTGTCCCTCTCTCTCTCTCAAAAATTAAACGCTTAAAAAATAATAACAAAATAAATACATAAATAAATATAAATACAGTACTGAATATTAACTTTATTCTCAACCAACCTTTAGCCTGTCTTATTCCTGTACCCGCTAAATCCCATTACCAGACCCTGGACTTCTGCAAATCGTTTTCTGGACCTGCAGGCTGGGCCTTTTGTTTGCCGGGTATTTTCACTTAAAAGGAGACAGCTAAACCACAAATCACTTAGGGCACACCCATCCACATCCTTCTAATGTTTCCTCAGAACCAACAACAACAAAAAAAATCCAGCAGGAGAACAAGAACCATCAAGTTGAAATGAAGACCAGACCACATTTCATGTAGACAATTACTGGCCTATGAATTTTAGTCAATTATTAATTCAAGCCCCTTGGTATCCGGGCAGCCTGAAAGAATGAAGGCATCTATCAAAGCAAGTTGCTCGGGTGACAATGACCGTGGGGCCACCTTCTCGCTCTGGCCCTCTCCGGGGTCGAGACATGCACTGCTGCAGCTCACGGGCCTCCGGGTGTTGGTGAGGCTGGGGGAAAGCCCCGCAAATCAGTGATCTCCCGCCCAGACCAACTCGTCCCCAGGCTCCCCCACCATGAGTGGGCTCCCACACTAGATTCTGTCACCAGAAAGTATCAGCACGATCACTGGGTTGTCCCGCTGCAGGTGTTAAGGACAAGCTTCCATTTCCTCCTTGATTTCCAGTCTCTAAATTGCACTGGTAGGAAGAGAGGAAGAGGAGGGAAGGGGAAGGCAAAAAAAGGAAGAGAAAAGAAGAGGGAGAGGCTAGTCGCAAATATGAGCCTGGCACCTCTTTAAAAAAATGGACAGAACTACGTACAGAAGCGCTTGCATTTTGTAGGAGAGCAAGCTTGTAAGAGGGGTAATAGGATACTCACTGACCCCCTGACTTGGGAGAAGGAAAAAGCCTCCCCTTCCCAGATGCACTGGCAGAGGACGTCCTAGGACATCAAGCCACCGGGGAAGGAGTCCGACGCCCTGAACACAGAAGGTCGAACAGGAGGGTCATCCGCAGAGGCTCTGACTGAAGTGAGCCTGAGCGACAAGCCCTCCCTGAAACAAATACTGGCTCTCGCTCACTGTCAAGGGTGAACCAGAGTTCTTGCCTGCTAGCTGGGCTTATAAACTGATCGCCAAAGATCGTTCTTCCCGATGACCCTCTTTCCCCCTCCTGGGGGTTTTATAAATCACTTTTAATTGCCAGCCCTCACGTCCTCCTTTGGACTCACTTCTTTTACGTGGCTTTTCGTTAAAAGGAAAGCCGAGCGCGCTGAGAAGCAGTTTGAGTTTCTCCCCGAACGTTTCCATGACTTTGTCGTTGTTATGACTCTGATGTGGGGGCTGTGTTGGCCAGAGGCACCAACTCCACTTACACACAGCTGGCAAATGAAAACAATATCAGCACATCTCCGCTGCACAGCAGGCTTTTATACGGTGATGCTTCATATTTTACTGCAGTTTCCTTTGGAAATGCTCAAAGCAACGACATCTGTTTCCTTTCATTGGGATTGTTATGTTCTTCCAGCCAAAAAAAAGGAGAGGATAGAGTTCATTAATTCAGCGTAGTAATCATTACAACGTCCACATAAATTTTGTCGGGTTTGGTGCTTTTAAATAGGGAAGCGTCCACCACCCTCGTCCCCTCCCTCTTTCTTAGTTAAGATGACATAAAACTGGTAAGCCTCAGGGCGACACTCCAGAGGTCTTGCGACCACAAACACTCACCACAGGCTCCAAAGGAAGGTGACATTCCCGGACTGCACCCCTCCCCTCCCTGGGGCCCATCAACGACCCTGGGAGTGCACAGGGAGGTGCTCACACTGCGTGCGGTGGGTCAAATCACCACGGACAGAGGGGGGTTTAGACAGCCCCACATTTTATTCCTTGAAGAAGGTAAAAATCTGCCACAGACAAGCAGAGGCAGAAGAGAGGAGTAAAAGCAGTCAGGGCCAAGACATGAAAATCCGTACAACGTTAAGAAGTTTGGACTTCTTCCTAAATGTGTGGAACCCGCTGGAAGTTTTCATCAGAGGAGTGACTTGATAATGTGCATTTTTAAAAGATCCCTCTAGCTGCCGTTTGGAGAATGGATTGGAAACTACTTATAATACCTGGCACAGCCACCCAGGAGGCAGACACCGCGACCTGTGTGAGAGCTGATGGTAGCTCGGGTGTGGGGGACACAGTGGGTAAAGGGACACAGGCACAGACTCAAGAGGCATTCGGGACATAGAATTTGCAGGGCGTGGTGACCGGTCGGATGGCGGGGAGTCAAGGAAAACGTAGAAGTCAAGGGTGACTGGGTGGAGAGAGGTTGCACTCCCTTGAGACAGGAAATAGTCAAGGAGTGGGTTATGGATGAAGGATAAAAGGCTCGATTTGGGACATGCTGAGTTTGAGGCATCCATACACGCTGCATGGAGAGGAGCACTGGGGTGGATTATGCACACCCGGAACGCA